GAAGTAAATGGAGAAATTACATCAACTTAAATACAACAACTAATAACAATTTAAAATACTCAAATGGAATGATATGTAGTTCATGTCAAATGAGAAATGATGAAACTACATAAAATAATAAACATCATTCAAGTATAAAAGCTCCAACAACAAGATATAGACTAATAGCCAAGAGGAACACTTAGAGCGGTCGTAGTTTCTAAAAGTTGTTGCTCTTGTTGAATGATATTGGCCAAAACAGCTTCAGAGGATATCAAAGAGGATGTCAACTGATGCTTAATATCTTCTGCATGTTGATTGAAAAAATATATTTTCAAACGCGTCTCTTCAACTTCCTTGATAACCTTTTTCTTAGAATCCAATAGTTTTTGCATCGCATCTAAAGAGAATTGAAAATCAGGAAGCAAAACGCGTTTTTCAACACCATCCAACCAATCCTTGTTAAAAGGAAAATTGCGCACAACTTGTACTAAGTCAACAAATTCAGAATGACTTGAACCTAAAACATCCAACAGACTATGTGTTTGGAGGAATTTCAACAAATCTGCAAGGCAGGTGTAGGCATAACCCTTGAATCTATTAGTCAGTAAAGCATCCATTAAAAAATTAGACGGATGCTTCACAAGGAAATCAGTTAATAGAGACAAGATTTCGTCATTCAAATGCTTCTTGGAGACTAGTTGCTCAAGCTCCCTCCGGACAAGCAAAGGATAACCTAAATCTTCTACTATTTGAGAAGTGTCCCCTGAAAGTATAGCAAATAATTTTTTATCTTCATTGAAAACAAGAAAGTTAATTAAAAATAAAATGAAGAAAATGTCTTCACCTAGATTTTTAATCTGATTTGTTTCCAGTTTTGCTCCACGATCAACAAATTCCAGGGCAAATGGCTCTTTTGTAGAAATTGAAAAAGATTGTGGGGCTGTTTGGCCATTTCCATATTCCTACACATATATAAAGAGATAAATAAATATTTATCAATTTCTCGTAGCATTAACCTCACTATATTTACAAAATTAGATTTGTTTTTTAAATTTGGCATTCATATCAATTAATTTTTTAAATTTGTTTTTCAAAAAGCAGTAGACTCACATGAGAATATTGTTTTTCACACTGAGAAGTTGAAGGTGTTAATTTCTTAGCATTGCTTGATAAAGTTCCTCCTTCAACACTCATCTCGATATCCTGCTTAGATTAAAAAAAATGGTTAAGTTTTCAGTATATTTCAATTCCTGCATTGAAAAAGAATCAAAATAATAATAATATGAGCATTTCAGGGGATATATGCCTTTTGTTTAAGAGAAAGAAACTGTATAGGTGACTCGTCCTTTGTTTTTGAAATAGTGGACAAAGTTGTTGCTGCAATTTTTTCTGACGATGAACCCTTGGATAGCATGAAAATATAAATTAGTTGCAGGTATTTTTAAGTAAACAATTGAAGTAAATTATATTTCACTTCATATTTTTATTTAAAATATCTCGAAGAAAATGAATTAGATAACAACATAATCTTTAATATAAAATTATTGGATAATTTTATTTATGTTTTTGTTGTATTTCTATTTCATTTTATATAAACAAAATAATTTCAGTGTTAAGCTTGATTCTAAGAAATTCAATTGCTTAGAATCAAGCTTTAAGAGTACTTATACAAAGAAGAACATTAATGAAAACTTGGTTATATGCTATAAACCTATATGTGAATATGAACTAACTAATTCTAAACAAGTTGGTGATGCTATTGTCTTAGAATTAAGTGATGTAGTTTCTTCTTCATCACTCATTTTGATACTCTATTAAAAATTAGACAAATGTTTAGGATTGTTGCGGATTTTAATTTTCATGTTGAAAACTCAAAAAAACTTATATAAGCAAAAAAGGGAAATGCATTTTGTTTAGGAGCAACTAATTATATAAATGATTCATTTTATATTTCTACAACTTTTTCAGACATTGATCCCTCCAACTAATTGCATATTCATAAGAAGCCGTTGAAAAATATGTATTACTTTATTTATCTCTGAAGCTCTGACAGTAGCATAAGTTTCTTCAAGTGAACTTTTTTGATCCACTATTTGTTCATTCAGTGGTGCCTGTAATATGAACATAATCATCAGTCATTTTTATAAACACTTTAAAAATACAAGTATGTTTAGGATTGTTGTAGAATTTAATTTTTATGTTGAAAAATCATAAAAATTAATATAAGCAAAAAGTAAAATACCTTTTGTTTAGGAGCAACTAATTGTATATATGACTCATTCTTTGCTCCTACAGCTTTTTCAGACATTGAAACTTCCAACTAATGCATACCAATGAAAATATAAATTATAGTTGCAGCATAGTCATAAGAAGCACTTGAAAAAATTTGTATTAAACTTTATTTACCTGTGAATGTGTGACACTAGCATTAGTTTCTTCAAGTGGACATTGTTGATGCACTGATTGTTCATTCATCGACGCCTGTAATAAGAACAATAGCATCAGTCATTTTGAACTATTAATTTGTTCGATTTGAATAAGTATATATTTTAACATGGAAGAGAAAGTACTTCTGAATTTGTTGGTAGTATTGCCACTGATGGTGTCACTAGACCAACAACATTTTCAACAAATTCTTGGCCTGTCTCCTGTGTTTGTTTTATTTTTATCTACGCAAAAAATATATAATCATGGTGTTTGAATTTAGGTATGGTAAACTTGAATAAATATATTGGTATTAACCTGTGGAAAAGTCAACTCATCTTTGGACTCTTCTTCCCATTTCATGTGCCGTTCATAACTTTCTTTCTCTTGGTATATTCTGAATTTTTCACTTGAAACTTCAAATAGGTTCTCCAAATGATCGCTGCTTTCAAAATCTATAGCAAAATGTTATAGATTAATATATTTTGACTTCTAAGATTGAGAGAGAGAGAGAGAGAGAGAGAGAGAGAGAGAGAAAACATAAATATTGGGTACCTAGAATAACATCAAAAATATTTCTTAGGTGCGACCAGGGTGTTGTTGATGTTAACGTTGAAGTCAAAGAGAGTTTATCACAACCCTTTATAAAACGATGTTCTACCGCCTGAAATTGAATTTCTTGTGTCTGGAAGAGGCTCGGTAGACCCAAAGTAGCTACCAGTTTCAAATTTGGAATCTTGACTTTCTCAATTCCCACACCTTCACTACTTTTAAATATTTCCTCTAACTCTTTTGCTTCACTTATGCTTAAAAACATTAACTCAGGAAGTTCGTTACAAATGGCGACTGGAAACACAGATTTCAATTTGTTGCACTTTTCTACAAAAAGTACTTGTAGCTTTGGGAAGCATGTTGTTGAAGACGATGAATCGGACATATTTTGATTCTCCAAATCATCTTCGAAGATATGTTTCAACTCCTCACAGTCACTTATCGTCATCTCATCCAATTGTGGTAGACATCTCAAAATAGAAGCAGAGAAAATTATTTGCAATTTTTGACATCCAAAAATTCTTATCTTCGTTAGATTCAGAAGGGAGACAAAATTTTTGGGACCCGCAAAAGGACTCACCATCACATTCAAACTTTCCAGCTTAATATTTTGCAATCCTAAGTTCATTTTCTGTTCATTTACTTCATTGACACAAAATATATTTTCTATATTGGAGTTTGTTAACTCAAGTATTTTCAAAGCATGCAAATCCTCCATGCTCTCACTCAATTCCTGTAATAAAGTACAAAAGGGAAATAAACATGCAGCAAATTAAAAAGCTCCACCTTATATATACATGTAGTATTTGAAGGGAGGAATACCTTCATGGTTGTACAATTGACAGATCTCGAATAATGAGGAATGAAACCACCGATGGATTTTATATTAGCAGCCGATAGTATAAGTTCTTTCAAAAGTGGCAATGTTGTATGATATTGTTTGGAACAAATGGAAACTAAACTTGGTAGATCATGAAGATTGAGATACTCCAATGACAAAAGACAAAGATGCTTTTTAGTATGGTTTTGATGATCATTAGTATAGTGTCCAAATATGTACTCTAATTGCACGCAACCAACAACAGCGAGCTCTTTTAATTTTGGGAAGACATTGCCAAAGTTATTTGCACCCATACTATCATGATCTCCGGTGTCTATTATTATGTGTTTCAATTGATCACATTTCTTGATTATCAAAACTTCCAACAACATTCTTGGAGCAATAGATAGGACAAATACTGATTTTATCTTCCTCAAATCAGTCAACTCAATCTTTTTAACATTGCGCAGGATCTTTGATAGTCTTGAAAGACATTGAACACGCTCCCATATATTTATGCTAAGACAATTTGAATTTGATTCCTGCAATATAATCCAAATAAATAGGAAATTAAATAATGTCTTTGTATTTTAATATAAAAAAAAACATCAGAAATAATATATTAGAAGTAGGTGAGAGGGTTACCATTAAGTTTTTTTGAGGCTGATTCTCATAAACCAATGGAATTTTAGTACTTGTGGTACTCTTCAATTTGTTCTCATATTTTTTACCACAACAATACATATCAGTCCATGACAAGCTGCTGCATTTGATATGGTCTGAGTGTGTAGTTGGCTGGGAAGCAGATATAGAAATGGGAGATGACCTATTAATGGAGAAAGACGTTGTAGGATTACATTCTGGGAAAATGTCAATCAAATTTGGCACACAACTAAGCTCCGTTGTTTCTAGAGATCCAAGTTCGACATCTTGACCAAATATGTATTTCAACTTATCACATCTCTTAACCCGATGAATTTTAGTGCTGGAAGATCATGAGCAGAGACAAGCGGAAGTATTATTTCAAGCTTTGGACAATCCTTAATTGTAAGATCTTTCATTTTCACAAACATTGGATCGTGACAGTTATTATCAGATATTTCTCTTCTGGATCCCTCCCCTATTCTTTCATCTTTTATTAAGTATTCAAGATTCTCACAATCAATTACTTCCAAATTCTCCAACAACACTAGGCTACCAGAAGTTGACACTTCAAATAGGGAGATCAACATCGGACATCTCATCATAAACACGCTCTTTAGACTGCATTGGTTTGCAATCCCTGATAAGCTTCGCAACTGTTTGCAATTTTCTATAGATAGACTCTCTAAACTTTTGAAAGAGTCGATGGAAAGAGAACCATTGCACAATTCTTTCAAATTTTCCATATGCTTCAAACGTAGTACAACCAATTTAGAGAAGACATTTGAAAGTTGAGAATAAGTATGCTTAGAAGTGTCAATGAGGCACTTTAGTTGTGAAATGTCCCTTAAGTAAAGCTCAACTAGATCATTCATACCTTGATCCATATGAACAATATCAGGTATGATATTTCTCCATTCCCCCTCAAGTCTTTTTAGTCTAAGAACCTCTGCTTCTTGCATACAATACTTAAGTGTTGTTTCAGATAGGAAAACCTCATCTGTCCATTCAATAGACACATACTTTGATAGTGAATAATCAATTTTACTGTTACTTACATGAAACTTCTGTAATTTAGGGAAATTTATTTCTCCTGTAAAACCAAAAATAGAAATCATGAAGTACAGCTCTTGAAGTGAGGAGCATCTTTTTATCACTTCAAATGGATTATTCCCATCAATTATACACCATTCCAATCTCAACAATCTAAATTTCTTTAGTTCTGCAATTTCATTAGGCATTTCTTTAATTTCACAATATTCCAAATCAAGTTCCTCAAGACATTGCAGATTTCCAAAAATAGAGATGTCACCCAACCGACAATCTGTAAATATAAGAGATCGGAGATTCTTCAATTGTTGCATTGATTGAGGTAATGATATACTCATCCTTAAATGAGGATCACCACGTAAATGAAAAACTCGAAGGCTGGTATTATTTTCAAAAAATGAATCAGGGACTTCAATTTTTCCATCATGGAAGTCGGAAGCCATATAAATGATGACTATTAGAATCTCAAGCTTGGAACCATCAAACTTACAAGAAAACATCTCATTTGGTTTGCCTTGGCATAACAAATATTTAATATTTTTCTCTTTTTCAATCATTGCCTTTTGATTTTTGTCATACAAATTTATTGTTTGAATCTCTTTGTTCGCTATCCACTGGGCTGCATCACGAGCGAAGTCGTGCATTTTCACGCTCCATTGACCGGCCTCCAACAATAAACAAGAATCTAGAAGTTTGTTTTTGGATATAACTACTCGACTTCGGGCTTCGTCGTAGCTGCCATAATCTTCCCCAAAAAGGCCTCCTCCGATGGCAAGTCTAGCTAAAGTTTCAGTATGGATATCTTCATCTTCTCGAAATACAGAACATAAAAGGAATAGACTCTTGGCCTCTTTATTCAACTTATCATAGCTAAACTTCAAGCAATTATAAATTTCAAGAACGTCATCATCGTCGTTGTGCCTGGAGATGTCTTTTTTCAAGAATTTTAAGGCCATGTCCCATTCTTCTTGACGTTGTTTGCCCTTCAAACTACTAGCGATAACAGCAATTGCAATGGGTAGGTTTTTGCATTCATTTGCAATTTTACGGCCCTTGTCAAGAAAAAATTTCATTGAGGTTTCACTTAGATCAGCATACTTTTTGAACATGTTCCACGCATCTTCCTTAGATAAGAGATCTAGTTGGATTGTCTTATTGCACCCTAATTTTTCGCACACGGAACGATTGCGAGTGGTTACTATAATCCTACAACCTTTGTGATTGTCACTACATGGAATTCCAATTTCATTAAAATCGACATAGCCCCACACATCATCCAATATTAGAAGAATCTTCTCACCATTGGTTAATCTGTTCCATAGTTTTCCGCGCCGTTCTGTATCATTACAGTCATCAAATTTCAATCCCAAAGGCCCGGCAATATCATCTTGAATCTTTTTAATATTAGGAGAAAATGACACTGTGGTATCAATGACCTGATTAAATTGTGTTGATTGCTTAAGTTCCTTACCCACTTTCTTAATCAACGTAGTTTTTCCTGTGCCCCCCATTCCATGCAAACCAATTATATAATTGGTGTCATCTTTGAGTTCAACCAAAAGCTTTCTGTATTGAGATTCTCTGCTTTTAAGATGCACATAGTGTTGGGTCGTACATCGTTCAATATCGGGAAGATGAGCAGGGAGTCCAATTGTAAGTTCCTTTCCTGTTTTCGTCAATATTTTAATTCGCTCCTTCTTATTTGCCAGCAATTTTCCTCTACTATATCTCCATAAGCAATGAGGACAAAATTCAAAAAAACACTTTTGGTTTATTTTGGTATCTTCTTGAATGAGCTGATTAACTTCATCTTTCCAAGCACGAGCATCAGGTAAAATATCTTCCCCTCTTCTTGTGGCCTCTTCAATGCGTCGCTTGAAAGTTGCCCCTTCTATTTCCAATCTAGATTTTTCTTCTTCGAAATCATTAACAATGCAAGTGAAGCAACAAATATAACTTGTTTCTGCAATCGCTCCATTTATCAATTTCTCCACAAATGGCTTCGCCAAGTCAGTAAAGAAACTCGCCATCTAAATAAATTTCAACAGATCAAGTTAGGCATATATATATTAAACCAAGATTCCATCAGATACTTAAGTTTAAGATCCTTTAAATAGTAAATTTATCTTTGAAAACCATAAACAAGTTATAAATAATTTATTATGTTGAAAAGTGCAGTGAAGACCGAAAATAAAAAATTGTTACCTTATTTTCAGCACTTTCAGTGAATGCTCAACTCAAGTAGCTAGTATCAACATTCTTCCAGATCTTTCGCCAATATGCAGTAGTTAACATCAACATAATAAGGTGTAGTGTTTACTATAATTCAATTTCTGTAGAGAAAAAAAAAGAGCAGAGATTATATAAAAAGCCTCTTTTGTTCTTTTGTAGAAAAAGATGGGACAGTACCTAGCATCAAAGGGGATGTTTAATTTCTTTTACGTTATAGTTGGTCGCATTTATATTCATTTTCCAGCTGTATGGTTTTTACAGTATTATGCATATTTTTCTGTCCATATCATGCTACAATTATACATCTCTATTATTTATCATAAAAGAAGTCTTAGTATATACTGTTTGGAAGTGTTTAGATGATAGTTGGTAGAAGATAGTTGTAGAGAGTAGTTTAGAAAGAAGGTTTTGTGATTAATTTCTTGGATGATGGTTTACAATGTAGCAAATGCCTATTTATAGGCTCAAGTTACCAACCTTTCAATGGTGGTGAATATTCTAGAGTTCTCATGATAGGTTATTATCATGATAAATCTAGATTTTTCTATCTTTGCCATAACTTATATATCTAGATTATTCTACCATATTCATACACCTTATAGTTTCTAGGATGTTCTATATTTTCTTACATATTATATTTAAGAACTCTCTAGAAATTTGTAGCAAATTTAACACTCCTCCTTGATACAAATTTCTTTGACTCCAAGCATAGCTCGTAGCTCTTCAAATCTTGGTCTCGGCAACGCCTTCGTGAATATGTCTGCAATTTGATCTTCTGTTCTGCAGTAGTCGAGTTTGATCTCTTTAGTTGCTTCAGCTTCTCTTATAAAGTGATACTTGATTGGTATATGTTTTGTTCTACTGTGATGCACTGGATTCTTTGCCATTGCAATTGCTGATTTGTTGTCGCAATTGATTTTAGTTGGTTGATCCTGTTTTTCTCCCATGTCTTCAAGTATCCTACGAAGCCATATAGCCTGACTCGTTGCTTCAGCAGCTGCCACGTACTCTGCTTCTGCTGTGGATTGTGCAACCGTAGCTTGCTTCTTCGACGCCCAAGAGAAAATTCCTGATCCGAGTGAGAAAGCATAGCCAGAGGTGCTCTTCATGTCATCTACCGAACCTGCCCAATCACTATCGGTGTAGCCAAGTAATCTTGAGTTAGTTTCGGTAGAGTACCACATACCTAACTCTTTTGTTCCTTGTAGATATCTCAAAATTCTTTTTCCTGCTCCAAAGTGTATTTGACTTGGACTTTGCATGAATCTTGATAGAAGACTTGTAGCATACATTATGTCTGGTCGCGTAGCTGTCAAATATAGGAGGCTTCCAATTAAACTTCGATATTTGGATTCATCAGCTTCTGGTACTCCATCATTCTTTTGTAGTTTCTCATTTGTTATGAGTGGGGTAGCGACAGGTTTGCAACCGTACATCTTGAATTTCTTAAGTAAGCCTTCTGTGTATTTATTTTGTGAGATGAATATCCCTTCATTTCTTTGACTTACCTCTATACCGAGGAAGTAACTCATCAAACCAAGGTCGGTCATCTCAAAGGTCTTCATCATGTCTTCTTTGAACTCCGTTATCATCTTAGTATTGTTTCCCGTGTAGATAAGGTCATCTACATATAGAGAGAGTAAGAGAGTGTACTGACCTTGAGACTTGATGTATAGTGTGGGCTCACTCTTGCTTCTCCTAAATCCTTGATCCATGAAATATTGATCGATTCTGCTATACCATGCTCGAGGAGCTTGCTTCAAACCGTATAGTGCTTTTCTTGGTCTTAACACTTTGCTCTCTTCGCCTTCAGATATGAATCCTTATGGCTGCTCCACATAGATCTCTTCTTCAAGTACACCATTGAGGAAGGCAGATTTGACATCCAGTTGATGTATACTCCATCCTTTTTGTGCCGCAAGAGCTATTAGAGCTCTAATGGTATCAAGACGAGCTACTGGTGCAAATGTTTCATTGTAGTCAACCCCAGGTTGTTGTGAGTAACCCTTAGCTACTAGCCTCGCCTTATGTTTCTGTATGGTGCCATCAGGATTGAGCTTTGTCTTATAGACCCACTTAACCCCAATGATATCTTTTCCATGGGGACGATTTACTAACTCCCATGTGTTATTTTTCTCGATCATCTTTATCTCTTCTTCCATTGCCTTGACCAATGTTTCATGCTTTGATGCTTCTTCAAAGCTTCCGGGTTCGAGTATGGCCATGTTGCAGGTTTCATATATGTCTCTCAAAGATCTTACTCGTTTTGGAGTAGACTCTGGTGATGATAGTTCTTGAACTTGTTGTTGTGGTGGAGGTGAAGAAGGTTCACCTAGGACTTCTTCCTCAGCTTCTTCTTGAGGTAGTTGAGTGGGTATAAGAACATTCTTATCCACTTTTTCTTCATCCCAATTCCAAGAAGCATTTTCATCAACTTCAACATCTCGACTAATGATGAATTTTTTGTTTGCAAGTTATATACACGGTAGCCTTTAGATATTGTGCTATACCCCAAGAAGATACCTCGTATAGTCTTGTCTTCAAGCTTATGCCTCTTCACGTCTGGAATATGAATGTAGCATATAGATCCAAAGACCCTTAGGTGCTTTGCTGATGGCTTCTTCCCGTTCCAAGCCTCAATTGGAGTCTTATCTTATACAGATTTAGTTGGACATCTGTTGAGTAAGTAAACAGCAGTGTAGACTGCTTCAGCTGAGAATGTGTTAGGTAGTCGCTTCTCTTTGAGCATTGATCTAGCCATCTCCATAACTGTGCGATTCTTTCTCTCAGACACACCATTTTGCTGAGGAGAATATGCGACTGTAAGTTGTCGCTCTATGCCTTCATCCTCACAAAATCTATCAAACTCGCGGGATGTGTACTCTTTGTCGCGATCATTTCTTAGTACTTTTATCCGCTTTCCACTTTGATTTTCAACAAGGGCCTTGAACCTTTTGAATACTCCAAAAACTTCTGATTTTTATTTTAAGAAATAGACCCATGTCATTCTAGAGAAGTCATCAATGAAGAGTATGAAGTACCTGTTGTTCTCTTGTGATGGCGTCCTCATCGGTCCACAGACGTCAGTATGTATCAGCTCCAACAGATCTTTTGATCTCCATGCTCCGCTTGTTGAGAATAGAAATCGGTGTTGTTTACCAAGGAGACATCCTTCACACACTTCATTGTTATCCTTTATGCTTGGAAGATCTCTCACCATGTTCTTATCATGTAACAACTTCAAGGCATGTGTGTTGAAGTGGCCAAATCTTCGATGCCAAAGCCATGAATCATCAACTTGTACCTTCATGGCAATGTTAGTTGTATATTTTAAATTTAGCGAGAAGCTTCTATTGCTCTTATTCATCTTCACTTCGGCTATCTCGGCCCTTTTATTCTTGTTGTCTAAGATTTTGCATACACCTCCTTCAAAATGAAGTGTGTAGCCTCTCTCCATCATTTGGTCAATGCTTAAAAGATTTTCTTTTAGGTTGGGAACTAGTAAGACATCACGAATGAGTCGTGTACCTTTATTTGTCTCTACCACGACGGTGCCTTTTCCTTTTGAATCAACCACACTTCCATTTCCTAGTCGAACTTTGACTTTGACTGACTCATTTATGCTTTTAAAAATAGTCTCATCCTTGGCCATGTGATTGCTACATCCACTATCCAAGTACCAACTTCCTCCTTTTTCTTTGATTGATTCTTGAGTGGCATAGAACATACATTGTTCTTGATCATGCTCCTCTGCGATATTAGCTTGATGCCTATTTTTGTTGCGACAGTGTTTCTCTATGTGCCCGAATTTCTTGCAATGATTGCATTGTGGCATATTACGGTACCAACAACTTTTCTCCGCGTGGCCTAGTCGTTTGCATATATTGCATGGAATATTTTTATCTGGATTGTTCTTTTGGAAATTTCTAGGAACTTCTCTTCTTTTGGAAGTTTCACCATAATTTTTCTTTCCTCCATTTTCTTTATTTTGGGACTTAAATTTGAGCTTTGACTGAAAGGCATTTTCAAGTGTATCTTCTTTATGCCTATGTAGTCTTTGCTCATATGCTTCAAGAGAGCCCACTAGTTCTGTCACTGATAGAGTAGACAGATCTTTGGTTTCCTCTATTGTTGTCACGATTGGGTCAAATTTTGGGGGCATAGTAATTAGAATTTTCTCAATAATTTTCTTGTCAAGAATATCCTCCCCAAAAGCTCTCATTTGATTAACTATTTCTTTAACTTTAGAATAGTAATCTTTAACTGTCTCAGACTCCTTCATCTTCAATAGTTCAAAATCTCTTCTTAGAGATTGAAGTTTGACAGCACATACCTTGTCATTTCCTTGAAACTCCTTCTGCAACGTCTCCCACGCTTCTTTTGCAGTCTTAGCTCCCATAATTCTTGGAAAAATTGCATCAGTCACGCTTGTTGCAAGGTGAACAATGCCTTTGAATTTTTCTGTTTATTTTTCTTCAACTCTTTTTCTTGAGCTGCATTTAGAGCTGAGGTATCTATGGGAGCGATGAAGCCTTCTTCTACTATGTCCCATAAATCTTGAGATGAAAAATATGTCTCCATTTTAACACGCCAGAAATCATAATTTTCACCATTGAAAATAGGGACACAAATAGTTGATGATTGAGTAGTGTTATCCATGGCTTAGAAAAAATATTGTAGTGGGTTAATAGTATAAGGGAAATATTTTGAAATAGTTTGGAGGATTTTGAAATGGTAGGTATTAGTATAACTACGCTCAATGTATGACCGAACGTAGCTCTGATACCACTGTTTGGAA